ATATATGATAAAATTGAGCTATAAATAGACTTTTTGTATTATTAAACGTATTTTGTCTAATATAAGACTTGATGCTACATAAGTACATACCTATATTATAAAAATTATTGATAGTTGTTCAAAAGGACTTCACGGATCAATGTAAAGATATGGTAAGTAATCAATTGAATATTATTGAATGTATCTGCTTTTACAGTAATTGCCATATTAGTATTACGACTATTAAAAATAATTATGTTTTTATAAAAAAAAATAATGAAAAAGATTTTACATACTAAAAAGGAGAATGTTAAGTTTCGACTGTATTTTTGCCTAGTTGTTTTTTGAAGAAGCCTTAAAACAAATTATATATCATTATATTAAAGCGGAATTAAAGAATTACTTAAGCGGAGTCGTGTAATGGATCGCTTATCTTGGAGAAAAACTGGAAATATTAGAAAAATTGATCAAAAAGAATAATGCTTTATCACATTTGATAAAAAGATGTTAAATAACATATATTATATGACATTGAGAATTAAGTAACAAGGACTGTACTACATGTTACTTAACATGTATAACTTGATATTCGTTATTCAAAGCCAGAATTTTATTATTTTATATCGAACTCTTCTTCCCTCATCAATTACTCAAAAGTTTCTTCCAAATTATAGGTGTTTAACTAACAATAGAATCCTTGTTGCTTAATTCCCGATGTCTTGAACGTCTTATTTAACAACTTTTTAACAATGAATATATAATAACATTAGATTTTTATTGCATTGATCACAATTTTTTCTATATGTTCCCCAAGATAAGCGATATACCATTCGACTGTGCTTAAGCTCTTTAAAATAATGAATTTGTGCATATCGGAACTTCTTTATTATAACCAAAAAAAACAGCCAAAACTTAACATCCTCTTTTATACTTATAATTAGTAGTTTTCTTTTGACGGAGAAAGTAAACTCATTATTTTGTGGAAATGTTCGATATTAAAGTCATCATTATTTCTTTTCTCGTAGAAAAGTATACCTCGATATATTTTCTTTTTTTAGCCGTGCATGTTTCTTATTTATCCGACAGCGATGCATTCCATTGTATTCTCAATAGATAATGATGTCGATTCTTCTTGAAAGACAGAACGGACAAGTAAATTACTGTAAATTTCGCCGGTGAATGTCGATGAAGCTTGTTTGATTAAAGAAATCTCATTCTTGCAAAAATAAAGAAATATTTTTTTACAAAAAATACGCATAATTTGTGTGTGGTTTTAGATTATGTAGATATTTATTAAAAAATAATTATAAGAGGTTAATATTTTTTAAACATAAGAGTAATTTTTACTAATTGTATTAATATTAATACGCTGCAATATTTCTAATAAACACGCTTATTGTAATTATAATTTTTATTTAATAATTGTTTTTTATTTATTTCCTATTTAACGATAAATTAATTATCGTAATACATGTGTACGATTTATTTATTTTAATGTATATAAATACAAGTTATAAATTTGTAAATATTTTGTAACAATCTAATCTATAAATTAGTTTTAAATATTTTCTTAACATAATGTAGATAATGTATATTAGAAGAATAAAAAGATATATCAGAATACATTGCGATAATTTTTCAAACATGATAAAGGTGTTAACACTATATATTTTCTTAACTATATTTTTTAAATATATTTTGAACAAATTACTGAATGGTTTCTTTTCGCTTCTTCGCACAGAAAAAATATTTTCAACAGTTTCTTTAACAATCATTTCACATACTCCATTTATTTTTTGTGTTATTAGTCGCATGCAATTACAAATTTTACAACGCCGAAAAGATCGTGAAATAAACAAATCTAGGGAAAGGAAACAAAGAAAAGGTGACTTCAGTTCGAAGTTGCAAAATTCGGTAATGACCCGGTAATGAAATTCCGAAAATTTGTAGTGGCACGTCACGCACGCCTTTTTGCATACGTCAAACGTTTGAATTTTTACAACGACTCGAGTTTATGGGCGCAGCGTTGGTTACGGATACGCGTATTCCCGTCTAGAATCGTTGAGAAGAATTATGCAGTCTAATCTTTTTTATACCATCGCAGTTCTGCCGTAAAACTCGTGAAATATCGTATGCCGTCTTCTGCTCGTGCGGAACCAAGCGCATTGCTTGTTGATGCATTCTTTCGATTGCACGATGCATCATGAAACATGCGTACCTTATTCCACCGAGTATTTGTATTAAACTATCTCGCCGATAAAAATGGGAATGGTTGATAGTAAAACATATTTGTAAATATATTGACGAGAATCAAAACTTTGTAGGTATTTATATCAACATTTTTACAAAAATTCTTTATACATGTAAAATATTTAAAATATAAAATATTAGTATTTTAAACATACAGAGTGTCCCGAAACTCGCAAATCAAAATATCATAGCAAGAAAGTCTTTGAAAAATTAACTAAAAAAGTTATTTGTAAATTTTTAATTTAAGCAGTAATTTTTGAAATATAAGAGTTTAAATTTAGCCAATTATATGTAGAGTGAACGCATCGATAGTGTTAGTGGTCGCGCACTTCACGCAAATAATCTATAATTGGCTAAATTTAAACCCTTATACCTCAACAACTATTGCTTAAAATAAAAATTTACAAATAACTTTTTTACTTAATTTTCAAAGACTTTCTTGTTATAATATTTTGATTCGCGAATTTCGGGACACTGTATATAAATATTCTTACAATTAGATATTTGTATTAAATACATATATTTTGTATTACATATTTACACCGATAGTATAATTTATTCAAAGAAATATTAATGTAAATATATTTGTGCGTTTTTATAAATAAAATCTTATCAAGAAGCGATTAGAGATAATAAACGTACTACGTTGTATGTCCGCGGATGTTTTCATAAAGAAAAATGTTTTTGTGCTGACTCTGACTGATTCCAATGGCGTGAAAAATGAGATTTGTGAACAATGAAGATCTTTATTCCGTCGACAGAAAGTTTGCAGTATTGTACCGCAATTTTTGCGGCAAATATATTCAAAGGATGGCAGACAAGCCTTAATATTGAACCAAGTATTTTTATTAAAGTTAATTTTCCGTTACGCTCATTCTTTGCAGTATTTTCTGCCATTTTATATATATGTATAAAAGAAATTACAAATTTATAAAAGTAGATGTTACAATTGAGAATGCACGAATTTTAGATCACATTTTATGACGAAAATTCATTTTTTAAGTCGCGGACTAAAGAGCTTACCTTCAATTTTTCTTTTATTTATTTCTGCATCCCATATATATTGAGCTCTATACCATTTCTCACAATAAAATGTTAACAATAGCACTATAATTCTACATACATAATATTATTTCTACATGTTGCCATGCATATAATACCTTAAAGCTTTCCAGGCAGAAACACAAGTTTAATGTGCAGTTAGTGTCAACTCCTCGCAATATACTGATCAAATTTGCTGGCAAACTACTGGCATGCTGCTAACATTTTGCGCCAAGTATTACTGACTGATTTTACTTGCTGATTAATTCATATGTTCCATTAAAATATGTCTTTGATATTATATATTAAAGATATATTTAAAGATATACGTACGCAAATTAAAATATTACCATTTTTTACATTACATAATAGTTAAATATTGATCAATCACTATCATAAGCTGGTACTGATAAATTCCCAATATACTAAACTCGGTCGAAAATAGAATTTCTTTTTCGACCGTCGCTATATAATTGTTGTTTTGATATCTATAGATTAATAAGATTGATATTAGAAATGTTTTTTCATAATTAATTTTATTAATTAATTTTAAATTGATTGATAAAAATACAAAGCTAAGAACATTCTGGAATTTTATGGAATTTAATTCACTTATCGACTTATCGTTACCAACATTTTTTCGATCTTTTTACCGCAGGAATTACATTATAATCTACTGCTGGTACATTACAATCTATTGCTGGTACATTGTAATCTACTCCTGGTACATTATAATCTACTGCTGGTACATTAAAAACTACTGCTGGCCTAAATAATATATCTGTCTATCAACAAAATATCGAAAATTGCTAAAAATTGTAGATAATTACCTATAATTAAATTTGTTTATTAAACAAATTTTATATCAAAGTCTTTAAAATTCTATTTAATATATCAAATAACATATGTCAAAAAATTATATTTAAAAAAATAATTTTGCTATAATTTTTTAAAGGTATAGTAAATAAATCAAAATAAATAAATTATTAATAATGATTGTGATCTGTACTTATATGTTTATAAAAGACAAGTACTAGAAAAAGTATTTCTAATATCAATTTTTAAAATTTATTAGCTTATGATCAGCTTATCTATTCATTTTAAATTTATTGTCATTAATCTTAATGATATATTTTACGTAATAATAATTTCTCGATCTGATACTTTACTATTTTACTTGCTTATCCTTTTCTTAAATCTTAATTATCCTTTATCATCAATAGCATTTATCTTTTATCTTTTCTGATCAATTTAATTGATCATTAGTAATTCTTCTTTGCTATAATAATTTAAGCTTCAGACATCTATCATTCTCATATCTCTTTTTCACGATTAAAAAAATTAAATTTAAATATCTTTGTAATTAATCCGCAAACTAAAATTTTAAAATTAATGTAATCTTCAGAAATAGAATAAAAAATTTAAACTTGTGATCTATTTTTCTTACTTCGGAAATTCATAAAAATTCTTAGATATTTCATGGCTTATAATTCAAATACTATTCCTGTATTCCGACACTTTTATTAGGAAAAAATTAGTTCTAAATTAGTCAAAGGATTCATAAATAACAGGAACTTTAGTTGATGAAAATAACAAGGAAATGATGTTTGTATCTCCCGTCTCACCTATATTTTCCGTTGAAAGTACAAGTTATCACAAGAGAGAAGAGTATAGCATTTAAAGGCCATAGACCTCACCTAGTACGAACGATCGATGATACATCCCTTCCACGGGGCCTCCACGAGCCAACATCAGCTTTGCAGACTTTTCGGAGTCGGCGCGATGGCGTGTTCCCCTTGAAGCGCCCTCGTCGGGTGGGCCTCCTTCATCTAGCCCATCAGAATCCTACGAAGCTCCGTTCCAGTGAGTCGACACGCCAGTCAGTAATTTTTCGCGAGGAGACGCGGGCTCGGTTCATCGGGTTTGACGCGCATCCCTCGACGATCGCCATTACCCCTCGCGGACGTCGTTGGTCACCGGCGTCTTCAACGCGATCGATCTTCAAGGTGAGAGTTTGACCTTGATTCATCCATTTCTAATTCCGCTCGCAAACCGCCCGAAAAACTACAACCCTTCGCGAGAGAAGAGTCGGTGACGTTTCACGAAAATTCGGTATTGGTATACATTGGACGTAGTAAGAAGTACGTTGATCGAATTCCTTCGAATCTTTGCAATATCCTCGAGTGTCTTATATCAATTAAAATGGACTTGTTTACAAACTGTTTGTGCGTGAATAAATTGTTCGTTAGTTATATGTTTATAAAATATAAATCGATACTTGATAGAAAAAATATAAGTTGAAGTGCTTTAGTTTTTCAAAGAAAAGAAGAAGAAATTTTTAATATTACTTATATAAAGGGCCAGGATATGTTTAGTTATTTATAATATTTGTGCATAGTGACAGCTATTTTATGATATTGTTATACTATAACAAAAATAGCGTCTTTGTCTACTGGAAATTTTTTTTAACTAGTTTATTTTAATAATTAAACAAAATTGCCTCTCTCTCTCCCTCTCTTTCTTTTTTCTATCATATTTAAACCTGCTTGATTAGCATTTTATTAATTATAAAGAATATTTTGTTTATATGCAAAATATTGAAAAACGCTGCACTACGTTATTAAATATTACTTCTAGTTATGATAATGTATAGCACGTCACATACATAATAATTTTCCGAGAGAACGGTGATTCTATTTTTATTTTGCGTTATTGAATGTTATCATCAGCTGCAGTTGTTTTTTAAAGGCATAATTGTCGTGTTTATCATCTTTCCAGTTAATAACTGCAACGTAAGATCATCTTATTGTTAGCTAATTCAAGAGATCGTGGATAAATTGGCACAATGTAAACAAGCATTCGCGAAAATAACTAGATTAATTGTCGTTATATTTTGTTACGTTATATCAAATAGAACGATCTACTGACAGAAGGAGATATATTACTCGGATTTTACGCAACGCCAACAGTATCGTGACTTTGAACACCTGTCTGCCACTTCGTAAACAGCTGACTGTTTGTGTCGAACTATGTGTGCGGTATCGTTACGCATCGTTTAACAATCAATACTATGCGCAGTTCCTATCTTACTCGCTGGGAACGAAAATACAGTGAAAAAAATAACGAAATCGCTATTCTATGATTCTCAAAAAAATGTGTTCCTTCTGAAGCAACAGTTTCATTATTTAGAGCAATCGTCGGCGCATGTGTGAGTGCAAACAAAGGCCGAGTTTGCGACATGCGCATTGAATTTCGACTTGCTTTTCAAGGAAATGGTCAGATTGACGTAATAATCGATTTATTCAAATATGTCCTTGAATTGATGACATTTCAACGGATACAATTATTTAGTGAGATACGGTGAGATAAATCTAACATTTATTATTATTATTGAATTAAAAAATTGTATTAAGATATTTTGTGCATTATTCATTTTTGTATCGAATTTTTATGAATAATTAATATTATTTTTTTTTTTAATGCGAGATATAATACAAAATAACGTACGTGCAATGTAACGACGATGTGCATTGCGTGGGACTAACATTAGTGCTCCAATTGGACGTAACTGGTACAAGGTTCAAAGGAAATCGTTCAACAAGCCTGAAATCGCTTATTACAGTTAAACTCGCTCGTTACGTCATCTAATTGCTCATTGTCTCCTAACAGAACTGTTGTTTCAAGAAATATTCGCGCATTTGTAATTGCGTCAGCGATCTACTGATTAATCGTTTAATCGATTGTTATTGACAAAAATCCAAAAAGTAACTGACATGAAGTGATCAATAATCAGGAAAAGCAAAATTTTTATCATGCATATCTTATTATTCAGCAATAAATGCAGCGACAAATATCTTTAATGTCGATATTGTGCACACGAAATCAGTTATTTTAAAAAAAATTATCTTATTTCGTATCTTAATTAAGTAAAATCGTTATTGATAAATATCTTTTTTCGACAATGATAAAATTACGTATGATTTATTGAATATATTTAGTACGAAGATAATCAAAAATTAGTATTTAATTAAAAGAATGTTATACCATCTTAAAAAGATTGCGAACATACATTAAGTTTATCCTTGAAAATATTCTGATTGGCTTCAATTGAATTCAGCAGCACGTGTGGAAGTAAACACACGATGTAACACATCACGTGTGACGTAGTATTGTTTTGCATATGAAATGTTTCTTCATATTCTGTTATTTGATTGTCATACATGTTATATTTCTATATATATTTTTTCTGCATGTATTAGAATGTTCCTAAAGCTTGTTATTGATATAATGCTCATTATTATTTCAATAAATTTATTACTGTTTATAATAAATTCATTGAAATAATATACGTTTTATCGTCACATCATTTCAAATAAATTCAATTTTTTTAAATCCTATTCAATACAGAAAGGGATAATATTCAAAACAGAACACATAAATGTATAATATTTTTAATTCAATATATGTGAGTTCTTACTGAATAAATATCAAAATATTAAAATACCATTATAAATTATAAAAACTTTTTACATCAAAAACTTTAAAAAAAAAGAGGAATAATAAAACTTTATTATTAGAAGCAATTATTAAAAACAGTCAAATCATAAAGTACTCACGAAATATATGTTAGTTATAAATAAATACAAAAATTACATATAATTTTTCAAGTTTATAGTACAAAAATGATGTTAATATATAGCATATTTTTATATATAGTAAAAAATACTGAACGTATAAAGTACTATTATATAAAACACGCATTTTTGCAAAATAGATAAAATAATTAAAATATATTTAAATAAAATTTGAAACAGAAAAATCAAGGAAAGTACAGTATATAAGATTCTGAAGTAAGATTTGAAACTTTCTCGCGCGCGTTGCGGTAGGTCATCAACCTCTGGACAGCGAAGGCAGTGAAGGTGAAGCGTATAATCGCTTCACCTTCACAAAGAAGTTATTCTGACATGATTCGCAGTTTCATATTATTACTATAATAGAAATATCAATATTGCTTACTTAATAAGATATATGACAGTGGATTTATGGAATTGAAGATCACCTTGCGTGAAAATGTGACAGCCAGTATACAGAATTGCATAGAGTTACGTGTGAAAGAAAGAATTATTGTCACCATTGGAAAACGATATAACGATAAAATATATAAACAAAACCATTCTTAGAACTGTTACTATTGTGATGATCACTATTGTGACTATAAGTGACAGACGGTAAGATAAACGATGTACGGGCCAATACACGCGCCTCGGATGCAGCAATGTGAGAGAATGACGCTGATAAGAGCTATCTCTGGGAGTACAAAACATCTACTTGCGAATGCACAAATTTTATATATGAAAGGATATTAAAGATTAATTAAACAGATTGACGGAGGATACTTAATGAAAGAGAGATTGATGAGTTCTGAGCAATTGATAATTGATTATCATATTTAAAACGGATTGTTCGATTTGCATAATAAAGGATATCATTCTTATTATCGGAACGTGCGAACGAAGGCAACGCCAGAGAAGTTATTCGATCGTTGCTACTTTGTTCCGTTCGCCTTGCAGCCTAACACCTCCGAATGCAATTGTGAACTGACCCCATTCGAATGACCGATCAGTACGCATCAACGATGTAAGTAACGTTCGTCGAGTTCTATGGACGCTCGTCCTGATCTCTGAATAGGTCGCCGATCTAGGGTGAAGTCAGCTACGAAGTTATACACTACAATCTATTTATTGATACATCGAAATTGAAAATAAACTATGCTTTATTATCGGAATTGCATTATTCATTTCTGTTGCGTGACTTTTGCTTTGCAAAAGCTCTCGTGAAAATTGCAAGTAAAAATAGAAGCGGAAAGAATTTAGGTGATTCACTGCAGGTTGGCATAAGAATTATCTTATGTCAACATATTTAACAACGTCTTATGATTAAATTTCTACAATTGACAAACGAATTATTATTTTTAAAAACGCTTATTTTTTTCGCTAAAATAAAATGTTAAATGATTGAAATTTACTAACAAAAAATTAAAGTCATTGTAATATTTAATAATATAAATTAATACATAAAATATAAAATAACAAAATGTGAGCAACAATTTTAGTGCTTAAAATTAATTTGGGATGCCACTTTAAGATAGAGGTGTGCGAATCATCATCATTTGCATGATTGAATCGAATCAAATCGAATCTCTTTAATTCGAATACGAATCGAATCTGAATCAAATTTTCCAAGATTTATATCACATATTAATTTAAACATAATTAATATCAAAATTTATGAATTACATACAATGATTTAAACAAACTGAAAACCTGTTTTCGATTTACATCTCATTACAAAGAATTATGATCTTATGTGACATTTTGAACTAGATTCTAGAACATATGTAATTAATAATATGTGTGTACAAGAATAGTTCGAATGCTCTCGAATATTTTCTATATTAATCTATGGATACATTACATACATCAAAAATACTTATTTATTAAATAAGAATAATTGATCGCGCAAGAGATATAAATGAAGCAAATAAAATAGGCGAGCAATTCGAAATCGAAACATTGTTGATTCGAAATTCTTGAACTATTCGATTTCGAATCTGACAGATTCGAAAACGAACTCGAATCGAATCCATTGTGATTCGATTCGAATTCGAACTATTCGGACACCTCTACTTTAAGACCATTAATTCAGCTCTTTACGAGTGCAACGCTGTTCTTATCGAACATGCATGTACGATTATCATCATCTTGTTTATCTTCTAAAATGAAAAAAGGCTTATGACCTCATGTTTTGAATTCAGCAAATACTTAAGCGCTGTCAGCAATTAATATCGCTATCGTAGAAGTCACGCGATTCGCAGGCGACTAATGCACGAAAAAAATGAACGACGGAAGTAAACAGATGTGCATTTTTTATCAAGATATGTTATGAAAAATACGTGCTTCTTTAACGGCGAAGTGGCTAACAATAAGTACTGATCGCCTTAAAAAGT